ACAGATTTACCTCGCGCGCAAAACAATTCTTGTAAATCACCAGGTTAGTATTAAATTTTTATTCACAGAGTTCAAGAAATAGCCATAAAATGTCGAAACATCACAAATAAATAAAAAAAAATCTTACAATCATTCAACTTTAGATTTCCCCCGCATTAAACGTATACTGTGTTACATCGATAAGAATTTGGTTTTTTAAACTGTCTAAAACAATAATTTACAACCCATCTATTCTACGATTATCTTGGGTTCTGCTATAGTAACACAACCGTTTTGCACCCAGAAATCCATCGATGTACCCTCCCCCTCCCCCCAAGGGTTTATCATAGGGGTTTGGTGCACAAAATGAAACTGTGAGGAGGCCAGTAAGTCGATTTACTCTACCCCTCCCCCAAGGGTTTATCATAGGGGTTTGGTGCACAAGATGGAACTCTGAGGATATCAGAGGAAAAGCGTACTGCGCATGTCACATCAATGATYAAACTCGAGATTTCTCTGAACAAATTTACGATTGAAAAAAGGATTTCAAATGTTTTGAGCTCGCATTTTAGCAGAAAACTTAGTGTAATATTTGTAATGAAGTATGTAACTTTCCGGAGTGTAAGTTAAACAGACAATCAAATTGAAAGATAGCTTCAATTCACCTTTTCGGCGCTAGCTGTCACGTGGTATAAATTGTGTTGGATTGTGTTACGGTCACCAAGAAGTTCGGACATTGTTCTCGGATTTCCGTACAAATGTACTGACTTTTAAATGAACTATTTACTTGGTTTGTTTAGTTAGTTCTCTAAATACAAGTAAAATATCATTTTTCTAGCTTGATTGAAGCTTTTCTTACTGCTGTTAAGAGAGCTAACTAACGAAATAAAAAATCTATCWAAATTTTCTCTTTAAAGTCAGTGAATTTGCATGTTAGTCAACATAAAAAAATATATATACATATATATTAAGTAAAAATCAAAGAAAAGTATATAGTTCAATTCAACCAACATACAAAAGGTAGCTGCGCGCAGCCCGACATTTAACTTCGATTAAGACAGACATGGAAGTGAAACAGTCAGTCTGCACGCTAGCTTCGAAAAGCGTTCCTGAAACATGAGAATACGCAAGTTTCGCATTCGCTGCATACCGCCGTTTTTGAAGACCTCAGACTCATTTGCACAGGCTTAGCCTCGTTTATAGGTCAGCTATTCACAGATACCATTAAAAGTTGGTGGGATTTTTAAAAAAGGGTATTGTTCAAGTTACACATTCTTTACATTACAGTTGACTTTTGCAAATTATTTGCTCTTAAGCGAGGCCAAGCCTGCGGAGATGAGTCTGTAATCATAAAACACAGCGGTATTTACCGAATGAGAAAAGGGGCTAATGTAACATGCGCAGGACAGATTTCCCTCTGCAGAAGGCGAGTAATGCCAACAAATGCCACATGCAAACTGTAGCTTTTGTTTGGTCGATGATTATAGTGTAACATTTCTGTTGATGCGAAAGACTTCAGGTTTTCAATCATTCCGAGACAGGCTTCATTTGGTAAAGGTATGWGAAGGACTAGAGGATGCAAATACGTAGGCACCACGAACGAGTGGGTTTAGATGGCATCAGATGCAGGCTATTAATGAACGACAAAAWTTCTTGGCTGTTCTGATGTATGCACGATGCTGAATGGACAATCATATCACGAAAATATCTTAATCACTTGCCCGGTGGAAAAAAAAATTATAAAGCTTTTAAAAACCCAGCATAAGCTGTTTTAAAGTTGATTAAAAATTAATCGGATTTTGAGCAGTTTGTTTTACATTATACAGATATTTAGTCACACKTTTAATAACTTTTTTTTGTTGAGTATTTCTGGTGTGAATCTATGGCTTAACTACAAGTATTAGTTTAATTCACTCTTCAGGGTATTCTCCGGCTGAAGATTGTTAGGTGTTGTTGCTGTTGTCTTGAATGCTTGTGTGACTCTTTTCTAGGGGCACTACATACACCCCTGGAATAACTGATGTTCCACTAATGTCTCCATCACCTCCATATCTTGGCATGCAACAGCAGTCTAGTATGTTTGATCTAATATACATAGCTACAGTACTGTTAGGTAGTGTTTAGACGCATTCTCTTGGCTGGAGATGAGGTGTCATCGTCATCATCTTCCTCGTCATCGTCTGGGTAATCCACTAGACCCATTAGCGGCTAATCAACAAACATTATAGCGGTCAACAAACATTATAGCGATCAGATGTATAATTAATCAAAACTTTTGCTCCAAAAGTTTTCATTAAAAAATATTTCCAGGTTGCAAATGCTAGAAAAACAACAGGCATTTTGAAGAAGCAATATCAAAAGTAAAAATGTGTTTGGAGTTCAACATCTATATTAATAGAATTTTCTAAGAGACTAAAGACGTATTGACAGCAAAGAATTATCTTACTTATAGTACACTCAACAAAATTACTCGACTCTGATTGGTCGAGAGGAGTACAATTATAGCGTTAATTGTACTCCGTAGGAGTACCGAATTAAGTCGCTATGGCAACACGGCCAAAACAATGTCAAAACAATTATTTTCTATCATTTTGTACTTAAAAAACATATAAATAAAATTTTAAAGCCGTAAGAACTGATCTTTTTTTATGCATTTCAGTTGCGCGATGGACTGAAAAACAGTCGCCAAATAGACTAAGATGAACGGCGTCACTTCGCTTTTTTTTACTGAAATTTTGTTGAGTGAACTATAAACAAAAAATCGCACGATCTTCTCGTACAATTTGGAATTAATAGACACTCGTAATGTTTTGAAAGTTCTTTAATTG